TGTCTTGGAGAGAGGCCTAAAAATGCAACTTTTGTACCCCGGGTGGGACTCGAACCCACAATCCCTGGCTTAGGAGGCCAATGCCTTATCCATTAGGCCACCGGGGCTGACAAGTCAAATGGTTTTCTGTTCTAGAACCAGTCTTTTCCTCATTTTTGGTGGTTCCGGCAAAATTTTGCTCGGCTCTGTGACCTCATTCTGGCCTTTTCCTATCCCCCCACTTCGATTCTCGATCTGCGCTCCAGTTCATCATCTCGCCCACTCCCAGGCGTCCTTGGGACCCAGCTGTGCAGGAGCTCGAAGACATGCGACACTTAAGTTTTATTTAGGGATTTAGGGTTATCCATCGGCCTAGGTGGTATGCAACTCGCTGGGGGAGCCAGAGATCCCAGGTTCAAACCAGGATCAGGCCTTTAATCCAGGGGTACCCCTGCAACACGGGGACGGCTGGTACAGGAAACAAGGTGTCTGTGAGGCCCAACGCGGGAGGGCGGGCACCATGAATGTCCAGTGCCCCGCAACAGACCAGCACCTACCCGGAAAGGCAGAGCGTCCTGTGCGGGGGCCGCGGGGGGGTCTCCGCCCCGGTCCTCCTCTCCCACTGTCCCTGGGGCTGCATGTTACCTGGTGGGGCCGCATGTTACCTGGTGGGGCCCCTTTGTTGTTGTTGTTGCTTATTTTGTCGTTTTAGCAGATCGCCAGCCCGAAGCCTCTAGCTTCCCTCTGGCCCGGCCGGTGGAATCTGGGCGTCGCAGCCGAGGCAGGGGGCTCGAGCCCCACCCGCTGCCTTTGCGTGGCTCTTCTCTTCCCCTTTGGGTCTCTTAACCTCGGGAAGTTCCTCTACCGGGAGTTCTTACTAAACCACTGCGACGTCACAGCCGCCAGCGGAGAAGGTGACTCCGCACGACCCCAGGTCGCCCTCGCGCCCGCGCCTCTGCACTCGAGCTGAAGCGGCCTTGTCGCCGGCGTTGTCCTCGCGGTGGGGCACCCGCCATTGGCCACGGAGGGTTCGTTAGCCAGAGTCCTTGGAGAGAACGCGGGCTCAGCAAGTAAATTCTCCAAGCGAAATGTCAGCTCAACCTCGGTCAATATTTAAAATGTTGGGTGTGCATTTACAGTAACCATAAGGTCCCTTCGTTGCCAGAAACCGAGATGATCTATCGGCTTTCGTCCCACATATTTTAGAACGGTGAGCGTACGTCAATAGAACTGTTATTTTCGTCATTTAGAAGTGTACAATTCAGTGGCCTTAATTAGATTCAGATTGTTGTGCAACCATTATCACATAATTTACTAGGTTTTCAAATGCACATATCCTTTGATTCCCCTGGAGCAACTCCCCACCGCACCCTCAAGGAACCCTCCCTCGCCTGTCAGTTTTCATTGCCTGAACTGTAAACCGCAGAGCTCGCTGTTCACGATTCTGCGCGGCTCTGCTCGGCAGTGCGCGGGGGTCCGGCAACCGCCTCTGGTCGCCCGTGCTGTAACCTTGACCCCGGTCCTCAACTGCAGATGCAGGCTAGGGGCGATTGGGGACAAAGCCTCTGACTGTAGAGTGTGTCCTGAGGGAAGGAAAACACTTCTGTGAAATTAGAAAAAGATTCCCCGCAGCGACCACGAAGGGACTCGAACCCCCAATCTTCTGATCCGGAATCAGACGCCTTATCCATTAGGCCACGCGGCCCCACTGTTCTAGAAGCCTCAGTTTTTTCTATAAAGCATATTGAAGCGCCTGCGCATTGTGCCCACGCGCATGCTCAGAGTGGAAAAAGACTTACCCTTCGTGGCAAATGCGGGCGGAGTTCTCAGTGGGGACGCTGCGCAGGTTTTGCACCCCGCCGAGAGTTCGAATCAGGATGAACCTGGAGGTCCCCAACCTCTCCCAGCTATCTTCTCTGGCTCCTAGAAACCCTTCTGACTTCTTCCCGCACCTGCCCGCCTTCTGCTCTGCGCTCTCCTGCGCTCTCCCCGTCACTTCACTGGTGAATATGCAATCGTCTCTTTCAAGAGTAGCTGAGTCCGCCAGGAAGGCAGAGGCGGTTTCTCCTTCATTTCCATGGCCCCAGCGCCAGGAAGAGAGGGATGTACTCCCGGGCTGGTCCTACTTCCAGCCCAGCCCAGCCCACGTTGGTTCCTAATTCCGAGACACAGGGCACAGGTCCCAGTCCCGCTTCTGGTTCCGAGGGGCACAACTGCACCTTTACCAAGTGCCAGCACTTTACATCCATCATAACACTTATTTCACAGATCCCCGAGAGCAAGCACTGACCCACGCAAAGCAATCATTAACAGGTATTTATTGAACGCCAATTAAACGCCCATGCCCAGGCTGCCCGCCCCTTTGTCCTGAAGAAGTCAAGGAGTGGATCGGGCGGCTGTAGCAGGGCCCTTAGGCCTGCAGGCAGAGCCTGCGCCGGAGGGAGCTGCGGATCTCCAGGCAGGCCTTGCGGAGCTCATTGCAGTCTGGCCCCAGCACGTCCAGCTCACACACCCGCCTGTTGACCTGAGGGGCCACACTGAGCCTGTGCCCAGGATTCTAGGCACTATGGGGATCAGCCTGGCTCCCGTTGCAGCCCTTGCCTGCTGTTTTGTAAGGCCTGAAATTTCAAGTGCTCCTTGCTCACCCTCCAGTTCCCGTCTAAGCCAGACGAGCTGAATCCCACTTAAACATTAGGCTTCACCTTTCTGCCAGCCCACATAACTTTTTTTTTCTGCATAAATATTCAAATAAGCCAATTCCATGCTCCTGCTTAACCAGGAGCATCTCACCTCTTGTCTCTAGGAAGCCTGCTTCCCACAGTCCCTGCTGGTTCCCTGTTTCCCAGTGCATCTCCTGTAGCCCTGCATGGCATTCAGTGTCCTCCCCCACACACACACATTTCAGTATATGTGAGTACCAACTGCTGCTGCTCGCATCTGACCAGTGCCAGAGGTCCTGAGTTTCATTACCTAAGACTGTTGAGGGCAGGGAATCCCCCTTTCATCAATGGGGCTGATGGGAGGGGCTCAGGAGAAAAGTCAGTCAGCCCCTATCTCCTGGTCACCCCCCCCACACACACCTCGGTCAGCAGCTCCAGGAGGTCTCCCCTGGGGTTGGCTCTGAGGACCTCCACCAGCGTCTGGACTAAGTCAGAGCCCTTCTCATCCCGATAGGCCACACAGTCTAGGTCAGGGAGTAAGGGTCAGAGTAAGGCTCAGGCCCCTGCCTCTGCCTCTCAAACCCAGGGACCCACTGTGACCAGACATGGAGGACAGCAAGCACAGAGGATCCAGAGATCAGGCCAGAGAACAAGGTGTGGGGCAGAAACTTCTTGCATTTGGACCAAGTTGTTTCTCAGTGTTTGCTGAGTGACTATATATACAGATTCAATATTGAACAAACATTTGCTGTGGATCTACTAGGTGTCAGGCAGGGCCCTGAAACAAACAGATCTTCCCTGCCCTCACAGAAGTTCCTGCCTGGAGGAAATGGTGCACGTGCACAGATGGCATTTGACATATGCACACCATCATTGCTATTAATGAGCGAAAAACTGTAGAAAGGAAGCCGGGCATGATGGCACATGCCTGTAATCCCAGCAGCTTGGGAGGCTGAGGCAGGAGGATCAAGAGTTCAAAGACAGCCTTAACACACTTAACACTTAGTGAGGCCCTAAACAACTCATGAGACCCTGTTTCTCAATAAAATATTAAAAAGGGGTGGGATGTGGCTCAGTGGTCAAGTGTCCCTGGGTTCAATCTCTGGTACCAAAAAGAAAAAAGAAAGAAACTAGGGAAGGAGATGTCTTAACTGCAATTGGGCTGGTTACTCTACATCCCAACCCTGGCTACCACTAAGGCCAATCCAGCTCTCAGAGCAGGAAGCTGGGCCCAGTGTAACTACATACTTCTTACCCTCAGTGGCTGCATAAACTGTCAGGATGTCTGCTTGATCAGAGCTTCCTGAAATGGGGCCCCTGGAGGGGCTGCCTGCAAGAGAAGTCATCTCCAACCACCAGCATCCTAGGCTCCCGCAGGCCCAGGTTCTCCCCATCTCCTCATCAAGGGCACCACAGGGCAGTGGAAAGACAGCTGGAAATCTAAATGTCAGCCCTTTGTTTATTAACTGTAACCTCAGAGAAGCTCAATTAAGGGGAGTAGCACTCACCTCCCAAAGGCCTTTTCAATTTTTTTCCTCCCTTTCTCTTGGCAAAGAGTGGGCAGAGGTGAGAGCAGGACACCAGCTAAGAGCCCCGGAAATGCTCTCTGAACAGTTCCTACCCTGGTACCAGACCTGTCAAACCCAAGCTATGGAGGGAAGGCAAGACCCACCTTGGGCATCAGTATGGATCTGGAGGACATCTGCCTGTGTAGGGATAGCTGGAGGTGTCCGAAGCCAGCGCCAATACCAGGGGAGAGCCACTGGCCCCACACCAGCATCCCTGTTTCCTAGAGGGGTGGTCAGATATCTTCACTCAGTGGGTACCAAGCATCCAGACCTGATGATGTGAATAGTGGGGCCAAGCAAGAACCCAATGGCCAGAGCCCCATGTCAGGCCTGCTAAGCTGGAAGTATTCAGAGTGATGAAAGACCAGGCTGAGGTCAAGGGCTCAAGTCTGTAGGCTGTCCTGTAGGACAGGAAAACAATGCTCAGGCTTCCTGGAGAAGGTAGACAGCAAGCGTGGGAGGCTGAGGGCTGACAGAGGAAAGCCAGAGAAGAAGGCAACTTGGAGGCCGCTGCTCACCCCGGACAGGCTTACCCCCGCGGCAGGCCTGTAGCAGGAAGATCTTGGGTCTGCCCCGTAGTGCTCGGCAGTGGCTCAGCTCCTGTACCAGTGCCTCTGGCTGCACCTCTTGCCCGTCAGCCCCCAGCAGTTGCCCCTGTGGCCCCCCATGAGCCATCAGGGCCACAAGGGCACAGCTCACAGGGCCTCTACAGGTGTCCAGCCTCTCTCGGAACTGAGCCAACTCTGCCTGGAACCCCTGGAGTGGGGACAAGGTTGAGCCCTGGGCCACAGCCTCCCCAGGCCCTGGCTGTCCTCCAGGAGGCTGAGATGTCTTCTCCAGTGTCTGCCCACCCAATTTCCATCTGCCTCCAACCTCAGGCCCAGGGAGGAAGCCCTAACTCCCTGTTACAAGTCCTGGCATGGGCTCACTAGAGGTGATGTGGAGGTCTAGCTTCCCAGAGCTGATTCTCCTCCTGTCCTAGTGAGGAAGAAGTGCAAAGGCATGAGGAGAGGGTAGCAGGATGATAAATGTCCAGAAACAAAATCACAGAAGGCGGGAATACAGCTCAGTTGGTAGAATGTTTGCTTCACATGCACAAGGCCCTGGGTTCAATTCAGCACCACACACACACACACAAAAAAAAACAAAAAACAGAGCTTTGAATTGGGGAGCAGAGACCCAGTCAGCAAGGGAGACCAGCCTCTCCAAGGCAGGAAAGTGACTGCCATTCATGCAGCAGGAAAGATAAAGGATAAGCCCATGGGTGCACTTCCTGTGGGTGATGTGGGAGAGGCCCAGGAGGGGATCCCCAGAGTCCTAGGGGAGGGGTGTCCTTTCTTCAAAGGTACCACCAAAAGTTCTGGGCTTCCCCTCACCTGAGCTGTAGGGTCCATTCTCAAGGTGATCTCGAAACCCGGGGACCGGCACAGGTCCCCCAGTGCCTTCACATCATGCTGTGCTCCGGGCTGGTCTTGGATCACAGCCAGGAGGAGGGCAGTCTTGACCCCCAACAGGTCATACTGAGCCCTGGGACTGGGTTCTGGCTATAGAGAGGGTTGAGGCACATTCAAAGTGGTCTAAGGGGGCTCCAAACTCCTAGCCTTCCCTACCTGGGCATGGTCAGGCTCCTCCCACCTGCAATGGCAGCTGTTTGAAGGAACCCTGCCTTACCTCAGGCATCCAGGGCTCCACACCTCCCAGGCATAGTACTCCCCTCAAGGAGCTCTGAAAGAACAGGCAGTAGGTGTCCCCAGTAGACTCTTCAGCTACCCTGCAGAACAGCTGGGAGTGTGGGATGCCAGGATACCTCAGAGGGGCTTCTCAGTGAGGGATCTCAGGGGAGGGGCACAACCCAAGCAGGTGACGGGACCCTGACTCCAGGGGAAGACTTGGCAGATTCCTGGCTACTACAGGCTCTTGGGGGTTAACTGCCAGAAGGGAGAGAGGAGGAGGAGGAGGAAGGATAGTCCTAAACAAGACCTCAGGTCTAGTTCAGGCTCCAGGTCATTGACTTCCCTGGCCTCAAGTGGACAGTGGCTATATCATTACCTCCTGCCCTGCTTCAGGGATTAGTGTGCACAAAGGCAGGGACCTCACTAGAATGGAGCAGGCCTATGGAGGAGGGCTCTCCATAGGCATTTTCCTGTCAGAGCTATGGAGAAGAGCTGAGGCCTGAAGGATCACCTACAGGATCACCCAGCCACCACCCAACTGCGCAGTGAGAACTTCAGACCCCAGGACCAGACCTGAATCAGTCCCAGTCCCTCAGTGACATTAATCACTGCCTGGATGAGTGTCAAAATGGACAGCTGGAAATACCAGTTTGGATGCCCAGACCACAAGGAAGGCCACTGCTGATAGCCTAGGAGGGACAGGGAGGCATGCCACACAGAGAGAGCTGCTTGGGCAAGGGCATGGAACGTGAGGCAGCCTGGATGTCTGGGGGTCCCATGTGAGGCAGAGCTGTGCCCAAGGCCTATACAATGTGTAGGCAATAAAGGTTTGTAGAATAAATGGGGGCCAGGTATGTGAAAGAATTTAACTGGAACTAGCTCAGGACAGCACAGTAGGGCCAGGGTGACCACAGGACCACCATCGCCTTCTAAGGCCTCCACCTCTGTCAGCAGTCGCAGCAGGGACCAGTGAGGAGAGCGGCCACAGAGCTCCCTCAGGCCAGTGCAGCTGGTGGAGAAACAGCACAGGGGCATCCTGTTGGCCAGAGTGGGGAGCTCTCCTGCCCATCCTCTGCCCCAACTTGTCCACCCCCAACCAAGGTCCCTGCCCAGACACTTACCACCACAGCCACTTGAGAGCAGGAGGAAGACTTTGGGGCAGCCCCTCAGAGCCCCACAGCGACTCAGCTCCTGGACCAGCAGCTGTACGTGCCTCAGCTGCCCACTGGGGGCCACTAAGGCTACAAGGGCACAGCCCACAGGTCCCTTGTGGGCATCCAGCTGCTCCTGAAACCACACCAGCTCCTCAAGAAAGCACTAGGGCAAGAGCCATGGCCTGGCCTGAGTCCATGAAGGTCCCAAGTGAGATGGGTGCTGGGGGTGGGGATGAGGAATGAGGCTTACCTGAACAGAGGTCTTCCTCTTCTCACAGTTTTAAAAGCCCAGGGACCGGAACACACAGTCCAGGGCAGCAACGGTAGCAGTGGACACCCCATGGCTGCTGAGTGTCAGGGCCACTCTTGAACCCTGCAGGCTGTATTCCCCCTGAGGAGGTAAGGCCAGAGCTGGGCCCGGCTGGGGCTCTGCTGGGTGTCTGGAGCAGGCTGGGCCAGGTGCAGCCTCCCATTACCTTTCTCCCCAGGCTGTCTTGAGCATCAGCCAACTGTGAGGCCGCCTGCAGGGTCCCAGCCACCAGGAAGGCCATGGGGGTCAGGTGGAGCTTTGTCTAAGCACCAGCTCACCTCCTTGGTCCTGACTCACAGTATGCTAGGTCCCAACTCTTGCCCTTTCCACAGACTGTCTCCTATCAGCTCTGTTTAAGACCTGAGTTGGACTCTGCCCCCAACCCCTGGAAACTTGGGCTCCACTCCCCCAGCCCACCTCTGTTCTCTCGCTCCAGCTGATGACTTCCTGGCTGACATTGATGTGCAACACATGAGCCAGGAACCTGTGCCCAGTTCTATTCTTAGCACTTGGCTCACATTCCTATCTGATCTTGTTACACCAGTGTCTCCTTTTGGAGACAGCCACCACACTAAAAATGCTCTCATACAGCCCCCACCACTTCTTACATCCCTAACACCCACATACACACACATACACATGCAGACAACAGCTCTGAGCCCCCAGAGGCCAATATCACTGACTGGAATCAGCCTTGTCTACAGTTCCACCCTGGTTGCTTCATCTGGGAAATGGGGACAGTCATGACCACAGATGTGCTAAATTGGGGGCTGGCTGAGAAAGGGTCCCAGGGCAGAGGCTGGCACAGGCAAGCCAGCTAGTGAGGGACAGGAACATCTTATCCTACCTGCTCTCACCTCTCTTCAGATGGGCCTGAGACAGCACCAGGAAAACAGGAAGGGACAAGGGTAGAAGGAGGAGCTGTACTCTGGTGACCACTGGCTCTGACCAGGCAACCACCAGCTCTGCACAGGCCACAGTGTGGGCCTGGGCAGGGGGGAGGTTGTCTTTCAAGGGCTGCCTGGGGAACAAGGGCAGGGCCTATTTTGCCCTGTCAACCTTTTCCCCTAAGACCCTTAAGCACAAGACAGCTTTAGCTTCTGGGACCTAATGAGCAGCAGGAGTATTTCAAGCAACCAAGACAGCCCCTTTCCAGCCCCTTGCCCATTTCATCAGTGGGGCAGAAGAGGGCCTGATAAACACCCCATGTCCTGCTTGGCCCCCCACTCTGCCAGGGCAGAGAGGTGGCCTAGACCAGGGCAGGCACTGGCTGACACAGTGGAATGAGAAAACCAGGGTATATGACTGCCCTTAGGGATCAGACCCACCTACCAGCCCAGGATGTGGCTCCACCTGCTGACCACACAACACAAGCCAGTAGTATGACCAGGCCAGGAGGCCAAGGGTAGAATTCCAGGTACCCCATCCCCACAGCAGACACCTAAAGAGAAGACAGGCTGGGCTCAAGAGTAAAGTGCTTGCCTAGCATGCATGAGATTCTGGGTTCAATCCCAAGTACTTAAAAAAAAAAAAAAAAAAGATACACAGACTAGAGAGAAGTTTCCACATTTATTCAGACCCTTCTGGAACCCTCAAAGTTGAGCTCTCTGGGAGCCCCTAGTCTGTATGTGTTATTACACATACAGACCTGCAGAGGATACAGACAACAGAATGGAATGCAGTGCTTGAGGAGTCAGCAACAAGGTGCTGAGTACTGATGGAGCATTAGTGTTAAGTACCACAAAGAACATGCCTCTGGAAAAGTGGACAGTAGGGGACCTCTACCCACCCTGTTCTTGATTTCCTGGTTGGCCTCCAATTGCCAGAGCCACTGCCACCACCTCCAGAAAAGTAGATGGGTGGTTCTCAGGGGCCTGCCGCGGAAGGGTGAGTCTGCCAAGAGCAAAGGTAGGCAGCCTCTGTGGCCAGGCCAGGTCTGGAAGCAGGAGATGATGATAGCTGAAAAGCTCCTGTGGGCACACCCAAGACCCAGATTCTCCTAGGTGTGGGCTGACTGTCCCTCCCAAAGTCCAGCAGCCCCTGGTGCCAAGGCGGGTTCTCCATACCCACTGGAAGGCACAGGCTGGTAGGGCAGAGGAGCTGGCTTACAGACCCACCTGAGAAGGTAGGGAACAAAGAGACACTGGCCAGGCAAGGCTGAGGGGGTCCTGGGACATAGCCCTAGGCCCTGCCTGAGTCCTCAATTACTTCATGCCCCAGCCAGGAAAGTTCCAGACTCCAGGAAACTAGAGGTGGGGGGGAACAGAGCAAGAAGAGGAAGACAAGGTAGCAGAATTTCCACTCAATGGGAGCAGGGCCGGCTAGTTCTGAGGGATGCCCCTGCCCCTATGCAGGCCTGGCAGTGGTGGAAAACCAGTGGAGAATCCTCAGTGTGGACAAGGAGGGGTCACAGGGAGCACCTGCCTTGCTCATCCAGTTCCCATTGGCCACTCACCCCACGGGCTGGGCCATCTTGGCGTGCAGGCTCTGGTGGGCAATGAGGTGAGCACGCTGCTTGAAGCTCTTGTCACACTCGCCACAGCCGAAGGGCCGCTCGCCAGTGTGAACACGCCGGTGGTCCAACAGGTAGGAGCGCAGGGAGAAGCTCTTACCACAGTCACTGCAGCCGAAGGGCTTCTCGCCCGTGTGGATGCGTTGGTGGTCTGCCAGGTAGGCGCTGCGGCTGAAGCTCTTGCCACACTCAGAGCAGGAGAAGGGCTTCTCACCCGTGTGCACACCCTGGTGACGCACCAGGTCAGAGGAGCTGCGGAAGCTCTTGTCGCACTCGGGGCACTTGTGTGGCTTTTCACCTGTGTGTGTGCGTTGGTGCCGTGCCAGGTCCGAGCCCCAGCGGAAGCGCTTACCGCACTGCCCGCAGCTGTGAGGCTTCTCCGCAGCTAGGTCCCGAAACTGACGCCTGCGAGTGGGTGGCCGACCCCGCCGTACCCCTACCAGCTGGCCTACAGCTGCTCCTGGCCGGTTCTCACTCTCCCAGGCCTCAGCCTCTTCAGGGCTCCAGGATACAGACACCTCACTGCCTGTCTGGCGCGGAAGCACCAGCACTGCCTCCTCCAGCTGGGTCTTCGAGCTCTGGCTTTTGAGCCCCAAACCTGCAAAGCGGGAGGAAGCAGCCTCTTCAGTCCTACTTGGTTCTAGAGTTAGTGCTGAGGCAAGGAAGAAATGCAGCTCAGGGAAAGCTCCCTGGCTTTGAGGTTCAGACCTGGGTCAGACATGCAAGCCCCAGTTCCCTCATCTACAAAACGAGATAGTGATGAAAAGCCAGTAGAAGAGTGGTTACGAGTGAGCCCCAGAGGGTGGACCCTCTGGGCAGATCCTATCTGCAGGGATGCCTCCTAATCATGACCCTCCACTAGGTCCCTTACCCAACCAGGTCCTTAATCCATCCAAGAACCTTGCTTCTATACCTGGAACTAATGGTCCACTCTCAGAGCTCACTGAATGGATTCAGCTTGATTTTGTGAACCACCCATTCTTGAACTGGTAGAAATGGAGGTATTAAGCAATGTGGTCCCCTCTCTTTACAGGTTCCAGTTCTCCAAATTAAAAAATACACAGTAACTTCAGTCAGGGAAGGATCTCAGCCAGGTTCACAGGTTAGTATCTGGCTTGGAAAGGGACCCCAAGTGTGTGGCTTCAAATGGCAAGGTGTTTGGACTTGGAGTGCAGCCCAGCCCTGTCAACATTTTTGCAGCTGGTGAGCCAAGGTGGCCTCACAACAAAGCCTCTTTTAACTCTGTCCTTTAGTGTGCAATGACTTCTCTGAGTCTCAGGTCCCTCATCAATAAAATGGGAAGAATATTTCAATGCACCATGTTGTGTGAATCAAAGGAGAAAATGTCCTTATAAGCACTCAGCACAGGCTGGCACATCTCAAGCACTTGTCACATGATATACCTGTACAGGTACAGAGAACTGAACATCAGCACAAGAAAGGAATCAAACAGGGCTCTAGAAGAGACCCAGGAAAAGCCCACTTTGGAACTGGCCAAGGGAAGAGTGGGAAGAAAGACTGGGAATGGCAGCAGGATGAGGGGCCCACCTACACCCACTTACCCAGGGCAGCATTCTGGGAATTCTCCCGCTTTATGTCCCAGAAGAGATTCCTTTGGGCAGGGTCCAGAGAACCCCATTCTTCCCGTGAGAAATAGAAGGGAATGTCTCCCAATGCTACAGGTCCCTGGAATGAGGAAGGAATATTGGGCTCAGGCTGCCTTGCTCAAGTCTCCCAGGCAGCTGTGGGTGGGGACAGGGTGAATCAGATGAAAAAGGGCTACAGGAGAAAGCAAGGAACATTTTATAAACTCAGCAGTGCCAAGGGTCTCAGAGAGGACAAAGGGACTGGTAACTCACATGGACCCCAGAGGCAAAGCAGGCATCTGTGGTCTCTCTGGTATTATCCTCTTTAAGAAGAGCAGGAAGCTGGGCTGAAAGAAAAGAATGGCGCCTCAGGGAGGCCACCTCAGGCCTGAGACTGAGATCTTAGTCTCCCCTGCACACGTGCACATGCACAGACACACATGCATGCACATACAGATATACATGTGCACATATGACTGGGCTTCAGAAAACAGAAACCCCTGGCTTCAGGGCAATGCTTGAGAAGGAACAAGGCCCCTGGCCAGCCATTCTACCGCCTATTTTTCTTTTTTAAATACTTTATTTCATTTTTTTTTAGTTGTAATTGGATACAATACCTTTATTTTATTTTTATGTGGTGCTGAGGATCGAACCCAGGGCCTTACCCATGCCAGGCAAGCGCTCTACCGCTGAGCCACAACCCCAGCCCTGCCGCCTACTCTTGTAGAGGCTTACTTACCATTGTGGCTATGCTGCTCCTGGGGTACAGGCGGCTGGCTCCATGCCCCCACCATCAGCAGAGGCCCCCTGGCCTGGGATCTCTGGACTGCAGACTCAGGTTCCACCTCCTCTGAGGGCACATCCTGTGCAGGAACCACAACATGCTCATCAGCACCGAGATCAGACGGGGGAGACAGAGTTTAATCCCTGGGAAGGAGACACAGGATATGTCCCTCAGGAGGCTGGGGTGTTGAAAAGGAGAGCAATATGGAGTCCCATGAAAACCCCAGAGGAGAATGTAACACCAGGCAGTGCTGTGTGCCCAAAGATACTCCCCATCAATCATGATGCAAGAACCAGCCCTACTGCCAGGTCAGAGCCTCACACCAACAGATCATCAACACCTCCCCAGATGCTTCCAGTCTCAAGGACCCAACACACCACAAGACAGCAGGGTGTTCACAGACAGCTCTACCTTCTCATACCCTTCTGGAGCTCTCATGCATATCACTGTATCCCTAGGGCCTGGCCTAGAGCAGAACATGAATATACATTTGCAGATCCTAATGAAGTTGAAAACTTTTTTCTGGAACAAGCCCACTTTGCCCAGTGAAACCACCAAAAAGAAAGCAATCATATTTACTTTGGACTCGTCTTTCAGAAAGGCAATATGTGTTATATCATGCTTTTGTGCTTACTCCCTCGGGCTTAGGGTCTCCCCTACCCTGTGAGCCTCCTGGAGATTCATCTCCATGGACATGGCCACTTCTCTTCAGCTCAAGACCATCTGGATCTGGGAGGGGCCCCTCACCTGCAGCCAGGCTTTCACTGGCTGCTTCTGTAGGTCTTCCACCAAGGCCACAGCTTCCTCGCCACTCCCTGGGAGCTGTCCCCGCACCTGGGCCTGGATCTCCCCTGGCAGCACTGTCAGAAACTGCTCCAGCACCAACCGCTCCAGAATCTGCTCCTTGGTGTGCAGTTCAGGCCTAAGCCAACGGCAGCAGAGCTCCCAGAGCTGGCTGAAGGCTTCATGCGGCCCACCCACATCCCCATAGCAGAACTGACGAAAGCGCTGGCGGCAGGCCTCAGAATCCTTGCTGTCTTCCTGCTGGACAGATTCTTGCTCCCAGGAGGAATCTTCCACCTTCACAATCAGAAGTCCTTCTCCCTCCTCAGGAGCCTGGTCCTGGTGCTCCCAGGGGGATGCCATTCCCCTGGCCTAAAGCTCAGGGCTGGTCCGCCTCAGCTGACCCTTTCAATCTCCCAGAGGGATCCCCTGTGGTGGCTGGGCTGGCATCTAGACACACACTCCTGGGGAAAGAGCAAACCAGCAGGATTTGGGGAAGGGTGGAATACATGAGCAAACAATCAGCTAAAGGGACATCCAAGATCCAGGGACTCCAGTACCCATCCATTGGTGCCCTGGAGCAGTTTTTAGGCTTTACTCTAATGCCTTATTCTGTTTTTTTTTTTGTTGTTGTTGTTGTTGTTTTTGTTTTTTTGAGGAGGGTAGCTACTGGGGATCCAACCCAGGGGTGCTTTACCACAGAACTACATCCCCAGTCCATTTTATTTTTTGAAGACAGGGTCTCCCAACTTGTCCAGACTGGCCTCAAACTTGCAATTATCCTGGTTCAGCCTCCCTAGTAGGTGGGAGAGTAGCTGAGATTACAAGCATGTACCTTGGTGCCTGGCTATGTTTTGTTGTATGTAACAATCTTTCCTACTAATAGAGGTCCACACCTCTATCGCCAAGCCTGGAATAAAAACCCTGGGTTTTTTCTGAGTCACTTGATTACAAAACTTAATCTCACTCACTTGTACTACTACTAGAGCTACTACTGATATGAGCATATTTATGTTTATATTTATAGCACTTAATGTAAATGTTCACATTTTATGGCAAAAAATACTAATGTATTTGTTGTTTGTAAAGATTCATTGAACTAAGGACATTTTTCCATGTGTATATTTCAATTAAAGTTTTTAATTATTGTATTTCAGTGTTGTCCCCAATCCCTTTGTAGGTGTTACTTAATATACCATAGGGGCATTGTATTATCTTTCTCAAATTTGAAAACTTCTGAATCCCAAAACATATCTGGCATTGGGGGTGTCAGAGAAAGGCTTTATAGATGAATGTGTGACATATTTGGACTTTGTTACTCTTTACACTTAAACTGCCAAGTTACATTTTATGTTGTTAACCTTCAAAATTCTGATAAGTGTATTCTGAATTTTTTAAAGCAATAAACACAAACATCTAAAAAAGGGAGAAATTTTAAAAATATACAAATACATAGAAAAGAAACTCCCTTTCTCGATGTGGTTGCAACTCTCCCTCCTCGACAGTCTGGCAAATGACGTCTCAGGTCTTTTCCTGTGCTTTTAATAAAAATGTTATCCATATAAACGAAAAAAAAAAGTGCTTGATGTGTTGTATTACATAAATGAGAAGGTTTCTTTCATTAGGAGCACTATGAGCTTACGTGGTATGGGTGTACTTGGGTTTCTTAACCAATACCCAAGTAATGCATTCGAGTTGTTTCCAATTCTTCTCTATTACACACTAAGCACTTTATTCACTCTTCTGCTCTTCACGAGTCTCTTGAAAAGTACGCGCGCCATTCTCGTCCTCCACTGACAGGAGGTCTCCCCGGAGAGGCCAGGACTCACTCACCAGGGTCGCACGGCAGGACGCGGCAGGCGGGTACGTTGACCCGGCCGGAGCCCCGCGCTGTCCCCCAGCAGCCTTGCCTGCGCGGAGCTGAAGGAAAGCGGGCGCGCAGGGGCGTCTGCCCGGAGACCAAGCGGGCAACAGGGGCGCTAGGAGGACCCGCACTTCCCAGCGGAGCACAACCCCTTCGGCCTACGCCTCGGGGCGCGGGCCCGGGCCACCCAAGGCTCCACTCCCGACCTTGGAGCCCGGAGGCCCGCGTCGCCAGTCCCCGCCCCCGAGACACACCGCCCACAACCGCCCTGGTGTCCCCAGTTCCGCTGCCAGTCCCAGGCGCCGGAAGCCCGCGCGGGGCTCGCCGGGAAACCACGCGGCGCATGCGCCACTGCGAGTCGCACCATTTATACCAAGCCGGGGACCGGAAGTTTTCCGACGAACAGCCAATGAACAGGGAGAATTCCTAGAGATGGCCAATCAGCAGGCAGCAACGCTGCGTCAATACCCAGGTACCGGAGGCGAAGGGCTTGGGTGTGCTTTTTGGTTTGCCCTCCCTTCCTTTGACTGCGCTTTCCTTTTGCTTTTCTCTGCGCCTCCGGCCCTTGAACAGTGGAAAGAAGAAGCAAGGGCTAGCTTGACAAGCAGAGACCACACCTGGCCCAGCCACGAGTGGAGCGCCTGTTCCACCGGAAGGGGTGCGCTGGGGAGGTTTCCTCCTTCCGCTCCAGTTTCTTGGCTCCAACGAGTAGGTGCAGGGCCCGGGGGCCGCGGCTCCCTAGACACGCTTCCGGAACCCTGGGTCCCACTTCTCCCAAGTCTTTCGCTGCCCTGCGGTGTCCCAGGCGGATCCCCGCACCCTCCCATCACAGCTCTGTCTGCGCAGAGCTGAAGAGCGGAGGGGGACCTGGGGGCCCAGAAGCGTCCAAAGCTGGGGGGACGTATCCGCGAATCTCGAGGTTTTTGTTTTCTTACATTTGGACCCGCTCGCACCCTCTCCATGCCTCGAGATTTTAGGCTCAAAATTTTCAGAAGTGAAAAGCGCTTTCTTTTTTCGGTCATGCACGTATTGCATGCTTGATGTAGAAAATTAAAAAAGATTGGAAAATTATAAAGGTATCCCTTTGCGTGAGGTTAGCTTCCTCACTCTGCTCAAATGTCACCCCCTCAAAAAGGTCTTCTCTAACTCTGAACAATCTCTACTCTGCCTTATTTTTCTTCCTGATGTTTATTGTTTGACATCACGTATTTGTGTAATTGTCTCTCACTACTCAACTGTAAGTAGCTACATGAGTGCAGACACTTTTTACTGCCTTGCCTTGGGCACCTGAAAGTGTACCTGGTACGTGATAGGTGATCAGGAAACACTGGTGGGATGAATGAAGTTTTTTTTTTTAAACAAAAATCCCTAATACAACCATCCACAAATAAGCACTATTCATGTTGTATGTGTTCTTACAGTTGTATATCTATGACCATATTTCTAAGACAAATCAGGAATCACTAAGTCATATTCTGTTGATTCGATAGTATAGATATCTTTTAGTGTCAGTATGTTCAAATAAAATGTATCAGTTTTGTAAGCTGCATAGTATTCCACAGCATGGAAGTTCCATATTTTATTTAAAGCACTCTCCTTCCAGTAGGATAGGGGAAGGGAGGAGGGGAGGCAAAGGTGAGGTACTGGGGAATGAAACTGACTATATTATGTTGTGTGCAGGTACAAATATGTAACAATGCATTTCACTATTATGCATAATTATAATGCACCAAAGTCTGGAAAGAGAAAGTAATTTAAAAAATAGGATCGGACATGGCTAGAGTTGTGGCTTGGTGGTAGAGCACTGGCCTGGCTCGTGTGAGACACTGGGTTCAATCCTAGGCAACACATAAAAATAAATAAATAAGGTCATTGTTTTAATCTACAACTAAAGAAAAATATTTAAAAAAAAATAGGATCAGACATACAAACAAAAAACAAAGTACCCTTGGACGTTTAGATCATTTACAATTTTTGGAATTTACAAATAAACCTGTATATATACCTTAGTGCATTTGTTTGAACACCCTGCTACAGCACTGACATTTGATTGAATTTTAAGTCTGTAGCTTAATATTGGGGAGATACAATGTTTTTACAATAATGTTTTCCCATACAGAAATATACATTTGTAATATATTTTAGTAAAATTTTATAGTCTCCTCATTTGTTCTTTTTAAAAATAGGTCGTTTCTTTTTTTCAAGTTCGTTTATAATTTTGTGGTTGTGAATATTTTCCCCCATTGTATTATTTACTTCAAGCAGGAGATTAAAAACATGTTAAGTAGTGGGGCTGGGGTTGTGGCTCAGCGGTAGAGTGCTCACCTAGCACACGTGAGGCTCTGGGTTCAATTCTCAGCACCATATAAAAAATAAATAAGTAAATAAAGGTATTGTGTCAACCACATTAAAAAATATTTTTTTAAAAAAGTGTAAGTAGAGCTCGGATTGTAGATCAGTGGTAGAGCACTTGCTTAGCATGTGTGAGGCACTGGGTTCAATTCTCAGCACCACATATAAAACAAATCAATAAAGTCCATTAATAACTAATAAAAATATTTTTCTAAAAAAACCACCTCAATAATTTGAACAAAATCTGATACAAAGATTTGTTGTTAAATCACACACACACCCAAATGTTACCTACTAAAAGAGTCTCTAATAAAAGTTTCAGAAGTAGCAACTGCAGGAAGCAAATTCTGCTTTTAGGATGAGGGCACAAACTCAAAACTTCCCCCCTTTTCAATTCAAGGCGGAGATTTGGACCTCTAAGAGCCCACCGCTGTGACAAGTGCACACAGCTGGCAGTCAGGGAAAACTTGCTGGAAGTGAATGCCCAAGGTTTCCTCACCTTCTCTCTATCGGCCTGCACTGGGAGACGGAAGTCCCTTTCTCCAGCTCCGGCCTTACAGCGTTCTTCTAACGCCCTCTACTGGCAAAGACTAATAAATGGGCCAGCATTTCAGGACCATTAAATTTCCATTCAATAATTTAGAGAAGACAGCAAGTCAATCACCTGGTCCTTCCTGGCTTAACCAAGGGCAGATTTTTTTTTTTTTTTTTTTTTTTGCACTATAAAGCAACAGGGTGTGTTTCTGCGTTAGCGCATTGGACGATGTAGAGGCCCTGGCTTGAGCGGCACGTGTTGGGACAGCATGGCTCCATGCATTATGTGCTGTGGAAGGTGACCAAGTGCGCTTCCCAGGTAGGCATTAAGCACCTGTGAGGAAACATGGGCGTTTCTCCAAAACTGCAGGCACTGAGCGGTGTTGGAGCCCTGTGTCCCTGGGATAGGAGGCTATCATGGGTTGCAAGTTTAGGAACAATATTCTGTTTTGAGTTGACAAATACAAGCTGTAATGCATTTCTCATAGTGCCTATCCAGCCTTCATGAGCCATCCACTGCTCACCCCATCCTTCCCAGGTCCCTGGTGGCCATGTTTGCATTATGTGAATCTGTCCCATCAAATGGACTGCCATGGGGAAAGAGATAGTTGTTTGACTCAGACTGAGTTCACTAGCTCCTCTCTACTTGGAATCGAGAACTGGGACTAAGGGAGATTCCAGTCACTTTTCTGTGTTGTTGCCCTGTAGAGTAGATTCATGAACTGACAGTGTTCTTTCCTCTTGTTTTCTATATACAAGATCAACTGAGATTGTGGCTCAGAGGTAGAATGCTCGCCTACCACATGTGAAGCACCGGGTTTGATCCTCACCACCTCATAAAAATAAAAAAGATATTGTGTCCACTTATAACTAAAAAATAAATATTTAAAATATCAGTGAATAAGAATGCATCAACAGGGGAAGATGGGAGTGGCCTGAGGGAGGCCACAGGAAAAAAAAAAGAGACTGGAAAAGCTTCCTTGGTCCCAGGCCCTGCCTGAGACCTACATGTTCCATGAGACTGTCTTGTCTCTTTACAAAAAAAAATCCCCCTTTTGTTTTTGCTGGCTTTCTTTGTGTCAATCAGAGAGCCTTAAGCATTACATGGCCATTGGCTACACGAGTACCTTCTTGCTTGTCATATGTATGACCAAAATAGTATTTTACTTGCTGCAACCTATTAATGGCAAGTTGCTGGAGTTTTTTGGGGTTTGTTTTGTTTGTTTGGTGGTGCTGGAAATCAAACCCAGTGTCTGGTACATGTTTGACAAGTGCTCTTCCACTGAACTATCTCCAGCCAAGTTTTTGTTTGTTTGTTTGATGTTTGGTTTTGGGAGGGTACCAGGATTGAACTCAGGGGCACTAGACCACTGAGCCCCACATCCCCAGCCCTATTTTGTATTTTATTTAGAGACAGGATCTCACTGAATTCGCTTAGCACCTTACTTTTGCTGAGGCTGGCTTTGAACGGTGTTTGTTTTGTTTTTAAACTGGAAATGAACCCAAGGGTGCTTTACCACTGATTATATCCACATTCCTTTTATTATATTTTGAGATAGTGGCTCACTAATTTGCTGAGGCTGGCCTCAAACTAGCAATCCTCCTTCAACCTCCTGAGTTGCTGGGATTACAGGCCTGCGTCATTGCACCCAGCTCCAAATTGCTATTTTTGAGGGATCAAGCACACTAGTTTTCTAATATAAATTACCAAAAACTTGGTGTCTTACAACAAAACAAATTTATTATCTGACAAATCTGAAGACCAGAAGACTGAAATTTATCTCATTGGGTCCATTTCAAGATGTCTGCAGGGCTAGTTCCTTCTGGCAGCTTTCAGAGAATTCAACTGTCAATTCCAGTTCGTAGAGGTGCGGGCTTATGGCCCCTTCCTGTCTTCAAAGTGCATCATTCACTCAGCTTCTGTCAGCACCTCTCCTCTCTCCTGTAGTCAAATCTCCTTCTGACCCCCTTTTATAAAAACCTTAACATTCCAGCATGATCTCTTCATGTTATAATCCTTAACTCTATCACATCTACAAAGATTATTTTTCTAAATAAGGAAACATTTTTAAGTTCTAGAGATTAGGAATACTTTGGGGTTATTACTCAACCTACTCTAACCCATAGAGGATCTTTTCAAGTTACATGGATAGTACTTCAATTTATAACCTCAAGTGGAATAATTAAAATTGCAGCTCTGAGCCAGTGTGGTGGCCCACACCTGTAATCCCGGCAGCTTGGGAGGCTGAGGCAAAAGGATCATGAGTGCAAATCCAGCCTCAGCAACTTAGCAAGGCTCTAAGGAACTCAGTGAGACCCTGTCTCTAAATAAAATACAAAAAAAT